AGGTTGGGTTGGCGCAGTGCAGAAGAACTTAAATCGCGTGGCTCGTTTTGGCACGGCCTGGTATCAGTGGTGTCAGGAGCGGCCTCTATGGAGTGAGCTCGTGATTGATGTTGCTGCTGCTGCTGCAGCTTGTGGCATTTGCCTTCCAGCAGCAATTAGAAGAGGGGGTGGGGGTACACACCGATGAGCAAAGTGTTCCACAGCGCAGAGATAGCAGAGTGGAACAATAGGAGGTGCCACTTGTTGCAATTACAACAGGGCGCTTCTGACCTGTGATGTTGGGCCTGCCCTGTCAAATTTTTGTCATTGGGTTTGTGTCTTCGTGTGCACCAAGCCTGTGCCACAGGTACCTTGAGCACAATTCACATGGGTGTAAATGATTTATTTTGGGGTCACAACCAAGGGGGCAAATGTTGAATAGCCAAGGGGGAGAGGGAGGGGCTATGACATCGTGTAATTGAGGGGCCACAACATGTGGCTTCGTCTCCCTGTCCAGACGTTTCCTCAACGTTCCCTGACCGCCAATTGGTGGTAAATCGCACCTGGTTTTATTTGTGCATATGTCCATTTTCAGGATGTGCCTATGTGCACACAGAGATGGGCTGTCATGGCCAGCAAGGCCTTCTCTGCTGGCCTAGAGATTTCAGAATCAGAAAATTTTATTTTTATTATAGATTTTTTTTCTTTCAGTAATGCTATGTGCATTTGATAAAGTTCGTTCCCATCAGTCTATTAACGTAATTTCATTGCTCCTCTCTCCCTCAGTTGTGCTGCTTCCAGTGCAGCTCATGTAAATTAGAGGTTTTATCCAATCAGATTTTCGACCTGTGCTGTCTCCGCATCTCGAGTGAAAAATCTACCCTGAGGCCTTCAGAATGACGAGTGAATCCCCTCTGCTGTTGAAGCAAATGGGGACGATGTTGTTGATTGCCATATTCTTTAACCAATCAGATTTCGAGTTTGCCATTTGGGCCTATTCTTTGACACGCCGGAGCCTTCTAGCTTGCCTAGCCGCCAACGGTAGCATTTTTCACGTGGTGTGATCGGAGGGCCAGTTAGCTAACTGAAGTAAAACTAGCTAGCACGTATCGTAGCATAATCTAAGATTTTTACTTTCATTCGTGACGTTTAGATTTTTAGATGTAGTGCTTTAGATTGTTTTTTTTTCTGTTGGGAAGCCTGTTGAATCCTGATTATGTTATTTGTGTTTTATGGCATTTCTGCTTGCTTGGTAGTCGTATGAGATCATGTGACTGGTTGTTCTCGTTTCATTGGTAATGACATTGATTTAGGATATGCAATGTCTATTTGTGATGCAGCATCCTGTCATGCTGTGTAATAATGGTACATCCTTGATGGTTTTAGTCACCATGTATGAATGGCTCTGCAATTAGTGTATTGTAACCCTCATAGGTGTTAAGCCTCGTGTTAAATCACTTTATTCCACTTGATAAAGGTTACTGTCACTGTGAATATGGGGTGGTTACGTCGAATGACAAAAGCCTATAGCCCCAGTGTCATGGTGACGTTGTTCGAAGGCAGTTTAATTGCGGGAGGATAGCACTGAAGGCCTCGGTGTAAAATACACGGACCCGCCACTGTGTGCACAAATAATAATAACGACACGTAGAGTAATATAAATACCTTTGCTTCTAATGGAATTCTGAAGTGCATTGTTGTATTCACATCGTTTACACATGTGCAGGATCACTGTACTTATGACAGTTCATAAACAATCCATGACCATTCACGGAAACCATGCTCACCGACAGAGCCACGTTTTGAGGAGTGACTTCAAACATACTCTTTGGTTCTTTCGGTAAAGTCACGTAGGTATAAAATAAAATAAATGAAATCACGACGTTTCGATTGCAACACAAGCAATCATCAGGTGGGAAAACCACAGCAAGATTTTTTGTTTGTTTGCTGAAGTGGGAGAGAGATGCGGTGGTAAGAGGTTATATAGGTAAGAGAGGGGGGGAGGGGCAAGGGAGGGGGGTAGGGGGAGGGGAGCGTTGCGTGGACGCTAGGAGAGGGACGTGAAGCTGGACGGGGGAACCAAAGAGTATGGATCCCTGCAGTCACGACAACTTCAAATCTAGATTGACTTCAAACTTCACACAAAATCGCCAGCACCAGACAGATTGGACGGGAGAATTGCCAGGAGATAAAGAGTTTGCTGCTGATCGCAGTCTCTGGGATGGGATGCGTGGTGTGATGAGGAGGGCCGCTCACAACAACGAGCGGAGCGTCAGGTGGATAAAGCACAGCAAGTTGTCACAGTAGGGGGCACAGGTGGTGCATCAGCCAGTCATCTCAGTCAGTCGACCCGTGGCAACTGGCTCTTCCCCGTAACCTCCTGCCAGTGGGCGTTCGACACTTCACGTGGCCTCAAAGTGTACATAGCCTGGCGCAAGCGTCGTGGTGATGTTACCGCCACTTAGTGGCGAATGGCGGTTGTTGAGCATGATGCAAGCCTATGGAGTGAAAACCACACGTCTATGCAGTGTGATTCACTGACCGAGTTGTCCTACAATCAGAATTTTACCAATTGTAGTTTGTCTCAGCCTGCCAACACCACCACAGTCAATGAAATGGGCACCACTTTGTGGTAAGTGAACGGTGGTTCTCCGATGGAGAAACTGGTCTCCACCATAGGAAGGTGGAGTTTCCACCACTGGCTCAATGCAGCTGGCAGAGATGGGTGCCTCCCTGAGAATTGTTTGAGCACGGAGACACTTTGACTTTCACAGGACATTTACCACATTTTCCCCTCTATATCAATGGTCTCTCTGCACCGCTAACCCTGAGGCATTAGCATACATCATGATTGAAAGAAAATGATGAAACAAAAGTCACGTTATCTACAATATTACAAAGAATTAAAACATCTAATGAGAAAAGTCAAATACTGTATACTGCATTTCCTGAAACTGTTTCATTCTGACTCACGTGTATATCTAAAATGTTCACATATTGTGATGGAGATAACGTCTTAGGATCCAGCTGGTAATTTGCAATGGCTGTCTGAGTCTCATTGGTAATTATGCTGAATCTTAATATTCCCAGAACTCCTTTCACCTCGTGTCACTTCATATAAACATCCGTGAATGCATACGTTTAAAAGGCCAGTTGTGTGTTTAATGCTATTGCATTGCACGTGCATTTAAGCCACGTGTATGTATCGTGCCACATCTGTATGTATGTATGTTGAAATTATTTCGCAACGTGCGTAGCCAACCGTGCTAATCGGATGTATGGGGGAAGGACAACAAACTAAACACAAAAAGCAGTTCGAAAGAAATTAGTTTTCAATTTAGAAAATATATTTTTAAGAGAGATCTCAATACTTGTTCCTCGCATGCTTATGTCAGGGCAATTATTATTCTCTTAATAATTTTACAATTTGTGGGCAGTTGGCAATTTAGGAGATTTGGAACACTGCACAAACACACGGTGGCCCCGTATTGCGAATTGAGTCGCGGATACTTTACACAAAAGGCTGCACTTTCACCGTTCCTCGGGAAATCCTCAGGCGGCAGCGGGAATCGAAGCGTCAACTCCACGTAAAACGGTTCGTTGGCGAGAATGATGATCGCCTGGCAATGCAGCCACCTCCATCCGGAGTGGGTTTTCCTGAGGGGGCACTTGGAATTTTAACTGTACAGCCCCACAGTGCCCGCCTTGGTTCAGACAAAATTAATTATTGACCTCGTGGCAGTGGCCTCATGTTTCTCGTTTGTTAAAAAAAATTTGAATTCCAGGTAATTGAGGCTTGTGTAATCTGCAGACTGTGCCTTTTTAGTGCATTTCATTGTTTTGAAAAGCAAAAATGAGCCGAAATACTATTTTTTAAGAGGGTCCTGCTGCATTGTGATGTTTGATCAACACCAGTTACGTTGTATGCATTTAGCTATGGGAGGAAAACGAAGAACCCTGAATAAACCCCATGCAGACAAGCGGGAGAACAAACAAACGCCACTGAAAGGCACCAGAGTCAGAAGTCGAACCGAGTCCCCTTTTTTGCTGTGACCACTGTGCGACCCAACTGCCCAAGCTGATGTTTAGATATTAAATTTGCATACTCTACAGACATATATTGTACTTCTGAATGTCTGCGTGACAAGGCATGTCTTGTTATCACTGATACAGATATTTGACTTGAAATTACGCTGTAATTGTTCCTGATAATCTAAATGCTGCAGTCATTTTGTATGCATAACACGTATACATGAATACCTCCCCGTAATAAAAAAAAATACTAAACTAGCGAAAATACTGATGTATATTTTCTCCCCGGCTTAGACCACATTAGTAGTTTTTTGCCAAAATTATTTTTTATAACTTAAAACTAACTTTTACAAAAATGTGAGTTTGTCTAACAAACACCATTGTCAACAGGAAGGTGACCAGTCTAGGCATGTGTCATTAAGCATTCAATACAAACAATGCTTAAGGGATTGCATCGAAAGTGGTTTATAAATACAAAAGCTTACAATGCATTAACACCTTTTCCTGAAAGGGATATGGCAGCTGTAAAGTGTTAGAAGCCTGCGTTGATGCATTCACAGCAGAGGCGTTGTATCACTTCATTTGTTATTCATCACCACTGCTAGCTTTTGTCCGTGCCATGGCATTTGTGATGCCATCACATGAAGGAAATGGTGACAATGATAACGAAGATGATCACGGTAGTGATGATGACAATGATATTGATCGTGACGATGCTGATGATAGTGGTGAGGCTGAAGATGAAATTGATGACAATGATTATGATGGTGATGAAGATAATGATAACGATAGTGATGATGCCAATGATGTTGATGATTATGATGATGACGATGATGTTGATGACAATGATGCTGTTGATGGTGGTGATGCTGAAGATTAAGTTGATGCCAATGATGATGACGGTAACGAGGTTGATGTTAATGATGATGCCGATGTTGATGACGATGACGACGACGCTGACGCTGATGGTGGTGCTCCACGGTGCGCAGACGCGTGGGAGGTTCCCTTTGAGGAGATCTCGGAGCTGCAGTGGCTGGGCAGCGGCGCGCAGGGCGCCGTCTTCCTCGGCAAGTTCCACGGGGAGGACGTGGCCATCAAGAAGGTGCGCGAGCAGAAAGAAACCGACATCAAGCACCTGCGCAAGCTCAAGCACCCCACCATCATCGCCTTCAAGTGAGGGGCGGCTCGGTGCACTCGCACTCACGGCAGCGCTGCTCGCTCACGACGACGACGACGCGCAAACACGGAGCACCCGCACGCATCAAATTGTCGTGCAAATTCTTCTTGGTTCTTTCGGTAAAGTCACGTAGAAGGGAAATAATAAAATAATAAAAATAAAACATAATAAAATAAAAATTCTCACGACGTTTCGGCCACAACAAGCGTCCGTCATCAGGTGGGACAACCACAGCAAGAAACAATTGCTGAAGTGGGCAAAAGGGCTGCTGTGACAAGAGGCTATATAGGTAAGAGAGGGCGGGGGGGAGGAGCCAGGGAGGAGAGATAGAGAGGGGGGTGTGGGGTAGGGGGAATGGAGCGTTGCTAGAGGGATTAGGAAAAGGGCGGGGGGGGGGAGAAGTGAGCGGGGCTGGGAGTGGGATGCTGATGAGAGGGGGGAGGAGCCAATCTTTTAACTCTTGTCCAGTCAACGGAGTGGTAACTATACACGCAGGTAAAAGCGCAGCCCTGCAAAGTCTTGCTCAACGCCACTGCTGGTGGAAGGTCCTCCACTAGAGGGAGCTCTAGACAGCCCCACTTTAGATGCTATTTTGGCATGTGCTTCCACGCTGGCTAAACTTCTTGGAAGAGGTGGCAGTACTCACACTTTACCCCACCCCACACGATCTGCCAGTTAAACGACCCATTCTATATTGGTGGGTGGACAGAAGCAGCGGGGACGATGATGTTGATGGTGCCGCCGCGCCGGATTGTGCAGCTCGCTAACGCCACGGCAGCATACAGAATTCACAGACAAATAACCTCGAGTATAAGGCACGACAGGATATATGAATAAGATGTAAGGTATTCAGAGGTGAAAGATATTCACGCCTCGTGGAATCGTGGGGAAAGCACAAAGCAGTACGTGCTGATATTGCAAATAATGCCAGAGCGTTAACACAATCTCCGTGCAGTGGCTTGAATAGGTCACCTATTTAAGAACCTTCACGTGATAATGTTTTGTGGCGGTGAATAATCTGTGGCGACCATATGCTGCCTTCACACCCACCCACTCAAGGCTGGCAAGCCACAATAAAGTAATAAAATAATGAACGCACTTTGTGCGCATTTCATGGTTGTTATTTTAATCACGTTCTTTGTTTTTATTTGCTCCTCGTGATATTTGTTCAGATCTTTTGTTTGGAAAGAGCAACTCTGTCTAGGTCACAAATAACACGAATGCTATGACATTATTGTAAGTCATTTTTTTCCCCGAAAATATTTTATTAACAAGACGATGCAGGTCCACAACACAAAGGATATGAAAGAAGGTTGACACCAGCCCAACACACATTACGGATCACGGAGCAATGGAAACCTGTCTAAACAGCACGTTATATTATTTATTTTAAAATAAATATTTCGAGAATAAAGGAGGCGTTTTATGGTGGCAAAAAATAATAACGTCCACGATGTAACAGCGTGCATGGCCGTGGCACGGCGACAATCATAGCATAAAGTCAGACCAGGGACACATACACCGCAACATAACGACGCATGTTGAGGAATACGCCTGGTGGTGGGCACTGCCGGATTAAGCTAGTGCGGGGCCTGTAGCATATGTTATAAAGGGGCCCTAAATAAAATAAAAACACGGAAATATTAAAACACAATTTTTTTTACTTGCTTAGTGAAGTGATTGTATTTTTTCATTTGCTATGCAGCCAGATAATACGACAATTCGCTAACCTTAAACACCCAGTCGTTCATAAAAGCTGAAGGCAGTATAGTACTATAGTAACAGAGCAAGTGCAGAATCACTGAACCGGAATTGATAGCTTGAAAGTGCGGGGCCCGTAGCATATGTAGCTACTCTTGCTACTAGGATAATCCGGCACTGGGTGGTGTCCTCGTTATCACACCACTCCCTATTACAATTTGCCCTCGTTGTATTGCACACTTAAAATATTATCACTGGGCGGCAGGGTGGCGCCGTGGTGACACTTGCGCCTCGTAGCAGGAAGCGTTCTGTGTTTGATTCCTGACTCGGGTGCCCTCCTGTGTGGAGTTTGTATAATCCGCTCGTCTTCTACTGCGTGGGTTTCCTCCCATAGCTAAATTAAAAAAACGTGCAACGGAACTCGTTTTGGTCAAACATTGCAGTGTTGGAAAATTACAGTCCATGAAAATTATTCAATTAGACACATCACCCCCCTACTGCGAAAACTTGGCAGGACCCTCTCCTGATATAGTCTCGGGTAAACAATCATAGTGATGCAATATAATAATGTATTTTGAAAGAGGTCTCCAATACGACAAAGCAACCATGAAAGACACATTCAAACAAGAATCTGTACCTACCTACCGCATTCCAAAAGAGGTTAAGTGCACGTGCACGACACTACCCAGCTGTTCCTCCTCCTCCTCCTCATACGTCCCATGTTGCGAGCGAGGCCTGTCTGGGGCCCGCGTGGTGAATGACACTGGGAGGTAACTCGGCCTGCGCTGGGAGTGCCGCACTATAGCGCAACCCAGCCCCGGGGACCTGACTCAGCTCATTCTCCCCATCTCCATCTCCTCCTGTTCACCCCCCCTCAAAGTCCGCCTCATCACGATGCCTCCTTTCAGTCGTCCATTAGTGCACTCCCCTGGGAAGAAGAGGTGGGGTGGCGGGGGGGGGGTTGCTTTATGCCAACTCCTCACAAATGTTGAACCAGAGATTTGTGCCTTGCCCCCTTACGCACCAGTCAATACCGTAGCGCTCCCTGCCGCTATCGGATACTGTGCGAGGAAAGGAGGGTTCAGCTCTTAACCCTATTCCCGTTCCGAGACGTCTGCATTTTTCAGGGTGTGGGTGTCCCGTTCACCGCTGAATTTTATTTCGAGGGTCATTAGGGCCATTGTTTATAAAGACATTGCACTCATTGCAAAGAACTGCAGCCACATGACCGCACTCTACGATGGCTTGCACCAAACTGTGCCACACGCCCTCCCTCATGGCATTGTGGGAGCCTCGGTACCAATAAAAAAAGATGTATTTTTAGTTTTTCTTCCAGTTTTGTTTTTACGACGTACGCCTATGCTTAAACGTACGTCATCGGAACGGGAAAGGATTAAGTGGGCTAGTGGAGAACACCCCCCCCCCCTCTCTGTCTGTAAAAGTTCGGGGTTTTTTGACGTTGCAATTTCTGTGTACGTATGTTGAACTTCTTTCGTACCATACGTAGCCAACCGTGCTAATTGAAGGTGCGAAATTTGATTATTTCAAGACAAACGAAAGCATCTTTATGAAAAATGAAAAGGCATTACCCGTCCTTGCACGAATAGAGGTGTGGCGAATATGTTCAAAGACCAAATAAACACCTATTGCAAGGCATCACGTTAACCACACAATGCTCGTGATAAAACATGCACACAAACGTTTGTCTCTGCACCAGTGTTATACCAGAGAACAACGCGAACAGGACAAGGACAATACAAACAAGCGTGCTTTGATAACAATGTATGCATTGTCCTTGAAAATCATTGGCCTGTACCAGACCTACAGCATCCTCCTTTATGGTCTTGTCTCACCACCAGTATTAGACCAGAGAACGCCAAAAGGTGAACAGCACAAAGACGAGGCAAATGTCGAAGCATGAGTAGCTTGGGTTGAGCAGTTATGTCTGTGGGACCCTTTTGAACAACTTAACACATCTTTACGATTGTCGAGAAATGTAAAAAAACATTTTTTTCTCATTATCTTCATACCGGCAAAAAAGTGTCCCCATAGATTTCAGTTCAGTTTTTTTTTAAGTACCCAGTGAGCTAACAAGGTTTTAAGTCGGATTTCATCAATAAAAACCCCACATGGTTTCCGTGACAGACGTAACACATCAGAGAAAAATAAATGAATAATCCAAATGAATCAATAAAAAGGTAATACATAATTTGTTTAAAATATAAAATGTTTCTTTTAAAAGTTTTTGCCAATTAAGTAATCGAAAAAGTGCAAGATTAGGAATAAAAATTGGCAGTGGTAAAACACATCGTTTCCAAAGAAACATTACATTTAAATCTCCAATTTAAAAAATATATAAAATAGAGGGAAAGCTTCCTTATTGCCAGATTATGTTGAAACAAAGCCCAGCAGCAGCATTATTATAAAACCGCAGAGAAGGCAAAAACATAATATGGCTAAGAAATCTGATACACGAGCTGTAATGCAATACTTTATTTAAACGTAAAAAAAAGATTTGTGATTATTCAAAGATTCTGCATTGGCAATTAATGTTTTAGTAGCATGTCCTATTGTGTTAATTGTAAGATAAGTTAATATGGATTGGCATAATTTGTTGTAATATACGATACATATACTTATCCACCAAAAGTACAGTATAGTTCACCTCATAAACACATGCCGACTCTCTCCACTCAGTCGCAAATTCACTCATGAATCATCGCAGGCAGTTCAATGCTATTTTGATTAGCCAAATAAAAGAGCCTTAATATTCTAATTGGTTCTTTACCCTTCTATCTGGCAACAAAACTGACACCTTTTTGAAAGGAGTCATGTTTGCATAGACCGCAATACCTGCAGTCATAATACAAACAAAAGAACATAACTCTGATAATGTGCACTGTCCTTGAAGTTGATTGGTCCACACCCGAGACAGCTTTCCTTAGAGCCTAGTCTCATATGGGTTGGACCAGATGACGCCAAAAGGCGCACAACTCAAGGACAATGCACCATCAGAGTATGAGAGCTCGGGGCAAGCATCTACACTATGGGAACCTCATTTGCCAGTAAAAATATGATAATTGCGCCTTTTGGCGTCATCTGGTCCAACCCATATGAGACTAGGCTCGAAGGAAAGCTGTCTCGGGTGTGGACCAATCAACTTCAAGGACAGTGCACATTATCAGAGTTATGTTCTTTTGTTTGTATTATGACTGCAGGTATTGCGGTCTATGCAAACATGACTCCTTTCAAAAAGGTGTCAGTTTTGTTGCCAGATAGAAGGGTAAAGAACCAA